TCAAAAGAAAACATTGACAAAAATAGTCCACCCACCCACATGTTCCCAAAATCAGAAATTTCTCTGAATTTGGCATATCACTTATGTGTGTGTACATATATTTGCATGTCCACATCTATAAAGTTATCAGACAAAAATGAGTGTGCCTTTTTGCCAAACTTAGAACCTACAGAAGCTGGCGATGTCTACGAAGAGTATAGAATAGTGATTTTTATTACTGTTTGTTGAAACAAAAGTGGATTCTCCCATTTAGTATCAGAATGACAGTCCTGGTCTCAGACATCTTTGTATGAGTTACTCATGATTCTTCACTGTGGCCACAGCTCTTAAATAACAACAGTGAACAGTTTAACAAAGTTCTTTAGTTCTTCCATGCTTTTGCTTTTGAGTAAAAATATTACATCTGTAGAACTGTGGAACAAGCATGAACTCCAGGGTAGGAGGGTAAGATGGTAGGGTTGGCAGGCCTGAGTTAGGGTTTCTGCTTTGCACTTATTAGCTGTGTAAACTTAAATAACCTCTGAGCTTTGATTTTTTTTTTTCTTTATAAAACGTTGGGGGGAGGCGGTAATAACATCTACTTTTGGTTTGCATTGTTGTTCTGTTGTGTGTTGTATAATGTGCCTGGCACATAACTTAGGTGGCCATTATATAGAGCTGTCATTGTCATAATTCAGTCACGATGGGCCTTCTACAGTGACTTCAGGGTGGTACAGAGGCCCATGTCCTAAACTTGCTAAGTGGGATCCTAGGTATAAAAAGATAATAAGAAGTAATCACGTTCACCTGGCAGAGTAGCACGTAGCCATAATCTCAGTACTCAGTAGGTGATGTAGAGGATCCCAAGTTCAGTGCTGGTTATAGTAGTACATGCTAGCTACACAGGAGAATCACAAGTTTAAGGCCAGCCTGGGTAAAAGTAGCTGCAAGACCCTATCTCAAAAACAAAATAAAAACAAAAGTACTGGAGGTGTAATGTAAGTGGTAGAGCCTTGCTAGCTAGCTTAAAGCCAAATTTCAATCCTCAGCACTGCAAAAAAAAAAAAAAGGAAGAAAAAGAAAGGCATGATTATCTTCATTTTTAAAGAAGTTTGGTAAGACAATGGCACCAATTATAATAAAGATTTTTGTGTGATGCAGATAGCAGTTTAATTGTAGGGGATTTGATGGGAAGATGAGCCGATCCTCTTTCTTCTTAGTTGAATATTCTTTTCCTACTTCTATCACTTAGGTTCTGTGTGGATTAGGACACCATTCTGTCTGTGCCTCAGTTTATATACTTGAAAATTGGAGGGACCATCTGTTCTGTAAGAATGATTTTAAAGGTGAATGAAAGCATATGGAAACATTAAAATATAGCTAAGAGAATATTAGTAATGTAAAGGATTTCAGTGGCTGTTATGACTGCAAGATGAGAAGTCTCCTTTCCACCCAGGGGTACTTGAAAAGGCACAGAAAAACTACTTATTGCACTGCTGATCTCAGAGTTCCTCAAGACTACTAGATGCTGAGAAACTGAAAACTTATGAGGGAAAGGGCGTTAACAATTTTTTTTTTAATTTCAAGCTACACAAGAGTGGGGGAAAGAGAAATTTTATTCCAAATACTTTCACAAAACAGTGACTTTACTATCTCCAACAGGCTATTGATATATGCTCTCTATGCTTATTTCTGCTTTTCTTCCCTGCTACAAAAATCAAGTCTGTATGCCTTCATTTCCTCACTGCTTAGCTTCTTTAGGGAAATAAGAGATGGAAGAGAAACACCTGGCCCCTCTCTCAAGCATGTTTCAGTTATATTTCCCATGCACATTGATAGTGTGGCTTTGAGGGCCACGTGGTTTGTAGTGGCCCTTTTTCGTTTTGTTGAATCCTCCAAAACAAGAATAAGCTTACTTGACAAAATTACATGTCAGAAATTAAAAATAAAGTTCTTACTTCCTGCGTTCCCACTCTTCACTTCCCACGCACACATCCACACTCATACACACACAGAGGGGAAGAGTATGGGAGAGCAGAGGATTTCTCTCCCTCTCTGGGGCTGCTACTGTACTGAAGAGGCTGTGAGTCTGGCCTCTTTAAAAGGCATCTTCAGGTAACATGCAGTATCTGTTATTTTAAGGCGACATCACCACCACTTGATTCTTCTCATCTTTGCGTACTTTTTTTCTTCACTGTTCTACCTTGAGGGTCAAATTTGTCTATTTTATAAATGGAAGCTCCTCCATTTATGCAGATGAATCCAAATCAAAAGAACTTACAGTTTTTGTCACATCACTGTTTAATTTTGAAAAATAAGTTTTCTTTGACTTAAGCTTTTGCATTAATACAGTGAGTTATTTCATGATTGATCACAAATATTACATTGAGTCGGTAGCTGTTGTCATTACTTTAGTTAAGATGTAATCCGTTAATCACAGTACTTCAAGTTCCAATCCTCACTAAGAACAAAATGACCCATGCTTTGGAATCTGGATAATTCCCTGGGGGGGTCTGAGGACACACTGTGTCCTTTTCTTCTAAGAAGAAAAGCCAACTACTACACACCAATGCTCTGTAAACCCAACCACCATAATTCTAATTTTATTTGGGTGTTCTGTAGTCATAAATAGCTATCTATTTTCTTGAAGGTATAACTCACAGTGGATGTGTTAATATGTAAAACTCTCCCTGCTAGAAAGTTATAAACATTAATCAAACTGCAGTCTTACACTCCTCAAAGTAATGTAGCAGACGAGCAGAAAAGCCCTAAAACAAAATATACAACATTTATTTTTACAAAAGCAATAAACACAAGATGGGTAATATATAAACCTCATTCATCTATGTCTTACTTTTAAGGTCATTGTCTGAAGCATTAGTTTCCTATATCTGGTTTCTGTCCTATGTAACAACACTTACTTTAAAAACAATTAGAATCGGCACTTCTTCAGTTTCATTAAGATTTTGACTAGTTCTGAGCCAAACAATTTGCAACTATCACTGGTAACTATCCATAAAGTCCACAGTTTACTGCTATTAAATCAGAAGTTCATAATTTAGAAAGTGATCCCTAAAACCACTCAGACTTGGAAATATGGTAACTTATATAGCAGTTAAAATTGCCTTAGTTATAAACTGCTTACATTTAAGTTTTACTGCCCCATATATGCTGTGAAAGTGTTGCAGACACATAAGCAGTACTTTTTTCACTGCGTGCAAGGAGCCTTTACAGCTAGGCTACCTGGGTCCATACTTGACCCTGTTGGAATATATGTAAATGTAATCTTCATGTATTGTTTTCTCGATCACTTCTACAGGAATATTTTCTTTTCCTAATGTTTGTTACTCACAAAAACAAGACCCACTTGTTCTATACAGTTTCTTTTCTGTCAGTTGTAGTCTAACATCAATGACTTTACAAAGACAGTACTCAATTTTCTTGTGGGCCACCATAAATTGTGTGGGAAGCAAGTAGAGTTTCATTAAAATAAATAAAATATATTCTTGTCATTAAACTTGCAAGAAATATTAAAATATTGATGACTCAGCTGTAATGGTATGAGGGAGGACTGATATATCAGTCACCCTACCCTGTTTTAAATAAAGCAGGATATTGCTGCTGCTTAAATAAAATAAGCAGTAACAACCATCCTCCATCGCCAAACTTACTGTCTTCCCAAAGAAAGGCTCACAGAAATGTTAACTGGATTAAAAAACAAGTCCCATATCCCTTTATGAGCAGTCTTAACCATGTTGTTTAGACACCAAACCCACACCGAGAACTTATTAGGCAGTTATTATATAAATATATGGTCTCTGCCAGTTGTTTTTAAACGATCAAAATACTGCAAACATCTGACATCCACAGCAGTTACTGAGTTATAACTAAAATGCTGATTTAGGCAGCTGACTTTGTACTGCTTATGTAGCAAAGCAGGGTCTAAACACAGTTCTGATTAACCTCACTGTACTTATTACTGTAATCTTCTGGGAGAAGAACAATTGTCACACTGATGGTTGACCTGGAGTAGAATAATTACAATGAAGCCATTAGATGATAATGTATTATTTTCTTAAGTGTATGCTTGGGTGCTGACATTTAAGAGATAACTCCTCAAAGTCAAGTAGTGTCCATTTTTCAATTAATTTATGTGTATAATAGTCTGTTGAGATGTTGCACAAAAGTGCTTATTAACATATAACAATTGGTGTGTATCTTTCATAACACCTGAGCAGAAAGACGTGAAAACATTAGCTCCTATCCTTCAGACTTCCAAATATCTGAGACTTGGTTTTTTGCAGTTTCTCATTTAATATTATGTAATAGTTATTTATGCATCCTTCTCATTTCCTCAACTAAACTTGAGGCTCCTATAGACAGGACTGTGTTTTATAAACTCTAGATTCCATATAGAGCATAAATCATGATATAGACTGACAGATGACTTTAGTTAAGAACCACCTGGATTTGACTTTGCAGTTATGTTAAAATATATCTTTACTCAGTTAGCTAGAAGTTTACATTTAAAGAACATAGTTTTGAAGGGCAGTAATTAAAGATGCATTGTTCTAAGCTAACTACCTGAGATACCTTAATTCCTAAAAAAGCTCTTTGCAAATGAAGAGTTTAAAAAATTTATAAAGATATTTGAATCTGAAGTTCTAATGACCTATTCAGTACTTTGTCAACTGTTCCATAGTTATTAGCATTAGCAGTATAAGGGTAACAACAGTGCAATATAATCTTGATCCACTGCAGTTTTTGAAAGGGTACATTATAATAGGTTTCACACTGTCAGATGCCTGCATAAAAATTCGTACAAATGAAATAACAGATTGCAGTCCTGATTTTCCAAGAAACAGAAATATTTCAAATGAGGTTTCACCTAGTGAGGTAATTTTAATTTCTTGATCATATTTCAAACAAAATTCTTCTAAGAATAGTAATACTATTGTGGTAAGCAGATGGAATCAGATAATGTGGTATCTTTTGATAACACGTTCTTACATTTTCCACAGGTGGATAAGCGGAGCAGCGGTCGTCAATGCATTTTATTCTTCAGGCAGAAATCAGATGGGTAAGGTGCAACCCTAAATAATTCTGTCACATTTCTCTGTGATAGCCCACGCATAATGCATTGTATGACCACTTGTAAGACCTGTCCAAAATGAAAGCCAAGCTGAGTTACTGATTTATTGAATGTACTTCTCGAAAGCAGGTGATTCCGTGTACCTCTTTTCAGTATAATGAAAAAACTTAAATTAGTACAAATCATATTAAGTAGTCTTGTTTCTTTTACAACATTTCCATTCTTAGCTAAAATGGTTTATCTTGTTCCTAAGTGCTTTGTAACATTTCTTTACATATGTCTCTATAAAGCTATACTGACTTTCAGACTCAGTTTATCAGCAGTTTAAAGTGGTCAGGATTCCAAGAGCCACCTTTTACAGATGCAATTCTCCTGGTGATTCTGCATTCTGCCTCTGGTAGATGTGTCCCATTTCATCCTCATTCCAAAAGCCTCTGAGCAGTTCAGAAAGTTGAAACCTCATTTGTATTAGGCTAACCATATGAAATTGTATTGCTAATCACTTTTCACCAAAAGAGGAAAAAATTATATGTTCCCTGAAGATAACACCACAGAAATAAGTTTAAAATTAATATACGAATGAGTGAAATAATGAATATCTGAATGACAAAGGTATGGTGGGTTTTCTTTCTCTTCCTGTTTAGACCTGGACATCTTTGAGTTCTATCTCTCTATTATATCAATGGGCTTGGTTTTTTTTCCAAAGGCTTTTAACTTGCAGAAAGGTACCCAAGTGATTCAGTCCTTTCAGAGTTATTCTAAATGAACAGTAGAGCAGGCTTCTCAGAAGGATTCAGTCAGCCTGCATTTCTAAGAATAGTCCAGAATCAAGAATCAAGAAGGCAACGATCTCAACATTACTCTAAACTACTTTTTTTATATCTGAAAGTCTGTTCTAAGCCTCACTTTTAAAATTCCACTACCAGTTTGATTAGAAGTTATGAAAACCCATCAAGATATTTATCATGTTAAAAACCAAACCTTGAAGTATATCCTTCTGTTTTAAAATTCTATTATACCTTTCTCCTTTGCTTTTAAATCTAGAAAGTTGTCACTTTTTCTTCTGGTATTTTTATGGTTTTTATTTTTAAAGTAAAACTTTAATCTGTCTGGAATTCACTTTGGTAAAAGATATGAAAATGAATTATATAAAGTAGTCAGAAAAGATTATCTTTATACAAGATACAGATAATAAGCAAGACCTGTACACCTAAGTTAAAATCAGTTAGCTCAAAGTCTAGGCTAATATGTTTTCTGAATAAGAAAATGATTACTTAAAATTAGACCAAACCTGCTTAATGATCAACTCAGAATCTATGCAGTCAGTCCTGTGTAATATGTTCTAGAGACCAAGTCTTAGAGCTTTTCTTAGAAATGCCTTCATGAAGGATCTTCATTTTGAAGATCTTTCTCTCCCTCTCCTGTTCTTGTCCCTCTCCTTTTCCCTCTCCCTCTTCCTCTATTCAAGTGATTTTAGGATTGAACCTGGGACCTCATACATACTAAGCACACACCCTACTGTGAGCCATATCCATATCTGCAATCCCTGAAGACCTCTTTTTAATATTCACAGTTCTGTCAGCGTAAAATCTAGCTCATTCTACCCTGAAACCAAATCAACATAATTAACTTTCAGTGTAAAGTAATTTGAGGCAGCTAGACCCTTATTTCTGCATTAGGGTGAACTAAAGAGTACAGTTTCATTTCCCTAAAGAACAGGGAGGACCTTGGATCCCCTTGAAACTGGGGCTAAAATGTCTTCAAGGCTAGGAGTCAGGTGGGTCCTCTGTAGGACCACACTGCCGTGTTCTGCCCTTAAAGACAGAGACTTACATAACTCTGAACTACCCCAGGTCCCTAGTGTCCCCAAATTGGTTCACTTCAGTGAAGAGTGGGGGTTTAATGTTCACAAACCAAAGAAACACACAGTACAAGGAAAAGGGAGGTAAAGGCAAGGCAGCCTAATATTTCACAAAGTAGAGTTATCCTCTGAGTAATCAAGAATTGGCTGTAATAAATGCTCTTTATATATAAGAAAAACCTTTCAAAAGATTCTCAAGATCAACTCATCTGGTGAAAAATGAAATAACTTGTTAACCCCTTTTCATATGCTTGTCTGTTAAGAAAAGGGAAAAGTGTCATGCAAGAGGTGAAATTTGAAATGTGTACTTTTTCTCTTTGAGAACTCATTTAAATCTTAAAAACAGATGTTTAACTAAAAATAATTGAACATTCAGATCTCTATGTTTTTGATAGAAATGTGTATGTGTGTGTGCATTTCAATACAAACATGCGTGTCCTCTGCAACACTTCTTTAATTAATGAGGTAGGTATAATTAGAGTTGATATGGAAAAGTATTGCCATGTGAATGACCCCTCCCCCACCACGTGGATACACAGGCTATCCCAAATTACATTGCCTACAATTTCTCATGGGATGGAATATTTGTGTTAGTACATTTAAAGTAACTTTTTTTTTAAATTTAGGGAATCACCCAAATCAATAATTTCCACCTTTTAATTGAATCCACTCCGTTTCTTTGTCACAACTCATGTGTGTGGACTACCTTCCAGTTTGTGGACCCTCCACCACTTCACAGCAATAAAAAAGTCATGTCCAGGACAAGAAGACATAATGAATGAGACATAATTCAAGGTCCCCTACCTGGCACATTTGCTTCATGGGCCTCTATAAACCTCCATGCAGGCTGTTAGGAATGCTGCACTGTGAATATTTTGTCATGTTTCCCTGTAAATTCAAGGCACTAGTCAATCATTTTATTAAATCTAAAAATTATATTCAGAGGAAAAAAAAAAGAATTATCACTCAGGGCAAAAAACAACAACAAAGAAATCATGTTCGAGGAAATGATCAAGGGGCCGGGTATGGTGGCACACACATAATCCTGGCTACATGGGAGGCAGAGATGAGAGGAGTAGATCTAAGCCCCAGCTTGGATAAAAAGCATGAAACACTATTTGAAAAATAGTGGGGGCATGGCTCAAGTAGTACAGTGCATGTCTAGCAAGCACAAGGATATGAGTTCAAACCTCAGTAACACACACACACACACACACACACAAAAGGGGACAGTCAAATCAGATGGAAAGTCTAATGTATCCTCATTCTCCTTTTTCATTAAAGTTGCAGAAGGAATTTTTTAAACAATTTTTTTCAATTTTTGAAATGTCTCAATTATTGAGTTTATTCATTTCTTGTAGGTTTTGAATATGTTGAGATAGGGTTTCCAAATTGTCATTCTTAGGAATATTATTTTCAGACTTGAAAATTAAAAGAAATGTTTTCAAACACATTGCTACTCCATTTAATACAAAGAGACTCTTTCATTATTTTCTACCAGAAAACTGTACCTGTTTCAAACTTGAACTTTATTTAAAGTATTCTAAAAAGAATCACTTGCAGTCTTAAAAAAATAAACCAAGGAAGTTGTCAGGCAGACTGAGGGGATAGAAAAGAAAGAAAAGGAAACCCAGTCTCTTGTTTCATGGACCAGTGACTTATTTAATTAATTAACTTGTTGGCAAATCACAACAGTTGTGAAGTTTGCTAGCAACAGCAATGAGGCTAATGAGGGAAATCCTCATTACAGAGATTTAGCTGACAAAGTAAAGGGGAGATCATAATTTGTGAAGTTGAACTTGAAGACTAGTATTTATTTGAGCCATAAAAATCTTATCACTTGCTTGAAGAACAGCATATAAGGCTGTAATTAAATCAGTAGGATCTTTATAGTTAATGTTTAGTCTTGATAGCTCATTTCATAACAGCATTTTATATAATGGGTAGATTTTAATCAAAGCACATAGTGTGGGAGATAGTGCTCAGTTTAAGTTAATAAAGTACTGCACATAATTTTTTATACTTTAAGCTAAAAATAATTTCTTGGCACTGTTGAACAGCTCAGGCAGCTACATGTGAGGTATAACTTTCATCAAAATTCTCCAAGGACTTTTTTTATTATTTTGTCATTTGAATGTTATGGCGGCTTTCCAATTTTTTAACGGTTTGGAGAGCAATTAAATTGCTCAGTGTTTTTAAAGTCTCCTCGGTAAATATCTAATATTTATCCCTGAAACTGACTCAAGGTTATGTCATATTTAGCCTACCTAAAAGGCATTTGTTACTGTGTGTTAGCTAGATCTTATTAATTTTTTTTCTTCTTTTTTTTCTAAAGGTCAGGGCTCTTTGCTTATATTCTTCATATCCTGCAAGAACAATGGTCCAGGGCTTTATGTGTAATTTGTGTTCATACTAATGATTTTTTCAGTTGCATAATGTCTCAGTTACTTAGTGGATGCTAGAGTTTTAAAACATGAAAGATAAAATTACCAAACTGTGCATTCATTTTAATTCATTTCTAAGATCAAAGATTAACCACTCTTAACAACATTGCCCCAAAGCAATGATCTTTTTTTTTTATTAAAGAGGGAAAATATATTCCAAGGGAAGAAAGTAAAAACACATTAATCTTTTTGCATTTTATTTATTTTTTATGATTTTTGCATTTACTCACATGAGTATACAAAGTTTTTTATTCTAAGGGGACGATGCAAAGGGATAGACCAGGGGAAGGCATGAGAAGCATAGAGAAGCAAAAGAGGTTGATGGAGTCCAAGACCAGGAAGAAGATGGAAGATGTTATATTTCTTTGGAGAGCAATGACAAGCCATCCATAGTTTCTTAGCAGAAGAGGGATAATGATGGATTTGTACTTCTCATCTAACTGTAGAATAGACTAAGAGGGTAGATTAGATTTAGGGTAGGTTATAGTTGAGAGACACTGATTAGGAGATTAAGTAATTCTTGACGCCAGAGAAGAGTGGAAAGTAAGATGGCAGCAGTCAGACTGACCAGAGAAGGTAAATAAGGGATGCTGATGCAAGGAAGGGGCATCACCGGGCTTTGCCTAAGGATGCTGTAAGAGACTGCAAAAGAGAGCAACAGAGTGGCTCAAGTGGTAAGAGTGCCTGCCTAGCAAGCATGAGGCCCTGGGTTCAAACCGGAGTGCCATCAAAAAAAAAAAAAAAAAAAAAAGACTTTGTAAAAGTAAAGGCAACTTCCATAAATAGAAAAGGTTCATTGTTGGGCATTGAGACCTAGAAAGTGACAAGAGCTAATAACAATGTCAAGAGAGTGGATGGTTTAGCAGGGAAAATGAGTATAAGTGTTTGATACATTATTGACACATTACAGTGTTTATGAGATACAAAAATGAAGAGAGCAAGCAAGTCATTGCGGATGTTAGACATAGAAAAACTACGGTTCACCTATTTACTAACCTTTTTTAGGACACCTTCTTCCTTTATTCAGCACATTTTCTCACACTGATTCTTCCAGGCTCTGTTGTGGTTTTAGGCTGTGGAGATAATGAACTCACTAATACATGGACCAGTGAACCAAACACGAATGTACGTGCAGACACACAAATCTCTGCTCTCAAAGGACAAATATGTTTGAGATGCTGAGGTTGGGAATGGGGAAGATAGGAAAAAGAAGGACTCCGACATAAACAACAAAATCAGTGGAATAGGAGGTAGTCACAGATGCTTTGATGAAAATCAAATATGGTTATGTAATGGAGAGATGCCTTTCACCATGTGTCTCTGTTTATGTAAGATACTAGTGAAGATGGATAAAATTTTACAGATAATATTAAAAGAAATACTTGTGTTATTAACTGTTTCTTTCAAACATGTGTGTGTGTGTGTGTGTGTGTATAAGGGGAAAGGACTTCCTGAAAATTGGTTATAAATTTTCCTTGCCCCAAACTCCATGCAGCAAAAAGCAATCTTAAAAGAGATTGGAAAAAAAATTGTGATGAATAAATCATAGATTGTGGCGCCACTCCAGGACGATCACTTTGTTGTCATCAATAATAAAAGATTTGCATTTGTTCCAATCACAGAAGATTTTTGTATATACCTGAGTGAACCGACATAATGGAAAACAGGTTAGCAAGCAAGAAGCCCAACCCCAGGTCTGCTGTCATAGAATAATGTCACAAGTCATCTTCTCTCTTTGTAGTCTTCCCAGCAGGCATTCTGCAGCCCCCCTTCTTTAGTGCTCAGCAGCCCAGCTCACTGAACTTTGGGGGCATCGGCATGGTTATAGGACATGAAATCACCCACGGCTTTGATGACAATGGTAAAGTATAGGTGACATTTTCCTGTGGCTGAGATATAGCCTCATAAATTTATTAATAAAACTACATTATTCATCAATGTATTATCTACATTATTTTTACTATACTTTCAGTATTCCCAAAACAATCTAATAATGAGGTGATATCTTTTATACTCTTGAAAGAATAAAGCAAATATTCATGGGAGAAAATACCATATTTGTCAACACCAGCACTAAGGCTTGGTCTTATTTCCTGATTGTATACGTCTTATCTTGCCAAACTCTTTGAGCGCAAGATCCATGTATTAACATGAGATATCAGGTAAAAAACTTCACCTACGTGCTATGTTCACAGTGAGGAACTTTTTTGCAATTAAACAGGGCTCTAAATGTCAAAATGGATATAGAGTTTCAATAAAATCTGAGAGGACTAGAAGTGAATAGTTTATATGTAAAGAAGTAATTTTAGTTCATAAACAGAAAGTAGCAAGAGAATGATAGTGAGAAAATTAATTATTTAGTAAGTATTAAGCAGACCTGACTTTAGAGAGCATAGAAGACAGGAACCGTCCAATTTTTCTCAGCTCATCTACACTATGAAATCACCTTAACAGCTAGGTGCTAATACTATCTCCACTTCCAAATGAAACAAAAGAGGCACATAAAATGCCTGTGGAGAGTTGCCGTTGATGGAACCAACATGTGAATTCAAGTAGTTTGGCTTCATAGCCCTTTTCATATTTACTACTTCATAAATATTAAAATGATGACAAAGTTAAACGTCAAAATGTATGATATACATAAACGCACCTGGATCTCATAAAGGTAAAAATCAGTGTAGTTCAGGTTTGGCAGGAAAGCTGAGGGAGAGAGGAAAACAACAAGTCCCAGTATCTCATGAAGGGTGGGAATGTGAAATGAGTGCCAGAATAAAAAGGCTGATTTTTAGAAAATCTCAAAATGCCAAGTTAAACAGACTTGGTTCAGGTGGAAACCATCCAACAGAACAAGGCACGATTTCGGGAATATTGATCTGATGGCCTCATTTACGATACTGAGATCAAAGGGATGAAATATCAGAGTCAGTCCTAAGACTCATCAGTGAAGGCTTTCCCAATTCTGTGGATGAGGAAAGACTGCAGTTCTGCCCGTCATCTGTCCAATATAAGGTTCTCCCACCTAGCAGTATTTCCAGACACCTTAGTGGAATAGGTGACTTATATGAGTGTCAGTATCCTTGTTGTCATATATTACAGTTTTAAAAATGTTACCACTGGGGAGTTGGGGCAAGGTGTGCAGAGTTCTCTATATATTATTTATTGCAACTGCATGTGAATCTACACTTATTTCAAGAATTTCAATTAAAACACGAAGCAAAATAGGAAAAAGGTATCTTATTATAAGTCGTGTAGTGAGTTTCTATCCATGTTACTTAAATATATTACAGGAAGAAACTTTAACAAGGATGGAGACCTTGTTGACTGGTGGACCCAACAGTCTGCAAATAATTTTAAAGAACAATCCCAATGCATGGTGTACCAGTATGGAAACTTCACGTGGGACCTTGCAGGAGGACAGCATGTATGTCGCTAGCAGTTTCCAGAAAAGTTTCAGATACATGCAGTCATAAGTGGATTGTTGGTGTTTTTCCTTAACAGTCCTACTTAAAGAATCTTTTTTTTTTTTAAACAGCTCAATGGACTTAATACCCTGGGAGAAAACATTGCCGATAATGGAGGTATTGGCCAAGCATACAGGGTGCGTGATATTTTCTTTATTTATAATGTTTAATCATTTATTTAAAGTCTTTTGCACATAGAGCCTGAGTAGAAAATGTGAACTATAAAATGGAAAGTATATAAGGAGAAAGAGGGGTGAGCATGCTAACTGTAAGGGTCAAGTTTCTGTAATGGAGCTGAGCATCATTCCTTAAGTTTCCAAGAAGCCAAGAAGAGAAAATACTGAATGTTATATCAAAAGAAATGAGGAAAAACACAAGTTCTGTAGAGAAGGCAACATTTTTTCTAAGAAATAATCTCTGAAATAAATTTCTTAGAAAAGGTGTCCATCAGAAAGATTATTTCAGGGCCATTGATAAGTCTAATGAACAGGACCCTCAGTTTCCCATAAGGCAAGGCAGCATTTGGGGGCAGTAATCAGTATACACTGAACAACAAAACAAACACCTAAACAACACAGGGCAAGAATGTAAAACAGGTCACGCTGAGGGGAGGAGGAGGGTAAAAGAAGGAAGTAAAGAAAGTGAATATGATTGATGTGCTTTCTATACAAGAATGAATGTAGAATATTTAAGCCTGTTGAAATCATCCTAAGAAAAAGAGTAAGATAGGAAAAAAATAGAGGGGATGAATCAGTTTGGGTTATAATACATATATACATGGAAATGTCATAATGAAATTCCCTGTATAGCTGTCTTCTTCTTTTTTTTTTTTTTGCTGATATTTTTCTTTCTTTTTCTTTTTTAAATTCATTTATTCACATGTGTATACATTATTTGGGCCATTTCTCCCCCTTGCTCCCTGTCCCTTCCCTCCCCACCCACCCCTCCCTACGCTTCCAGGCAGAACCTGTTCTGCCCTTTTCTCCAATTTTATTGAAAAGAAGACATAAGCAATAATAAGAGAGACAAAGCGTTTTTGCTAGTTGAGATAAAGATAGCTACTTAGAGAGATTCCTAGCATTGCTTCCATGCACAAGTGTGTTACAAACCAAATTGATTCATCTCTACCTGACCTCTTCACTAGTTCCTGATCCCCTCCCCATATGGGCCTCTGTCACTTTAAGGTTTCTGTATTAGCTCCTCTGCAATGGGGACATCAAACACTTTCAAGTGTTTCTTACCTATCCCCATTTTGGGTTTCCTACCTATCCCCATTCCTCCCGTATGTGCTCTCCCCTTGTCATGTGACCCAAGTTCATCAGCATTGCTGTATTTGCCCTAGATCTAAAGTCCACGTATGAGGGAAAACATATGATTTTTGGTCTTCTGAGCCTGGCTAACCTCGCTCAGGTTGGTTTTCTGCAGTTCCATCCATTTATTTGAGAATGATAAGATTTCATTCTTCTTCAGGGCTGAGTAAAACTCCATTGTGTATAAGTACTACATTTTCTTAATCCATTCGTCTGTAATGGGACATCTTGACTGTTTCCATAACTTGGCTATTGTGAATAGCGTTGCAATAAACATGGGTGTGCAGGCACTTCTGGAGTAACCTGTGTCCCATTCCTGTATAGCTATCTTACATAAACAAAAATGTCATTTTTCAAAAATGAGGGACAGAAAGGTAAAACAAGTCCTGTCTGGGAATTAGTACCAGTATGTGTGGAGAGATAGATGGAAAGGGTGAAGGAGGTTGAACATGATGGGAATATTATGTACTTGTATGAAAATGGAAAATGAGACCTGTTGAAACTATTCTAAAAAGGGGAGGAAGGGTGATAAAGGAGAATGATGGGGGAGGTAAATTCAACTAAAATACATTATAAGCACTTTTGTAAATGTCACAGTGTATCTCCAGTACAATAATATGATAATAAAAAAATAATGAGCATAAACCACACACATGCTACATGAAATCAAAGTCTGTTGGGGTGACACAGTTAGGGACCTGAAGTGATGTGGCTCCAGTATGTGGCCTTGTTGTTGCCTAACTATTATACTCAGAGGAGTATTACCAATGGAGTATGCCTTAGAATCTCATTAAGCCTTCCATTCATTCTTGCATTCAACAAATACTTTTATGGGCTTTGTTGTGTGTTTAGCACAAACAAAAACTTCTAAAGTGATGGAGATTCAGCAACATACCCTCCATAAAAGATGCCAGTATTTCATGATCAGAGTAAGAATTAAAGGATGGTATAGTGAATGCTATGTGAATAAGAAAAAAAGTAAGAATTTTCATGAAAGAGTGGAGGAATGATTTCTCAGAAGCAACAAGGAGTGGGGATGATTTTGAGTGCTTCCTAGATGCTGAAGTAGCTCACAGTAGAGAGAATGAGCAGAGTCATTGAGATGGTACAAGAGACAAGGTATCCATGGATAGAACCAGGTTTCTCAAAGATGAGTATGGATGGGTTTGTGGAGTGAGTGAGCATGTAGGGTTATTTGTTTACCATAGAAATGCTAGGGTGGAGAGGTGGAGGAAAACAGCGGTGATTGTATCAGGAGAGAGGAAGCACCAGAGCAGCATAGAAAAATGACTGATGGGGTGTGTGATTGTCAGTAACCAAGAATAATCAAAGTATGAAGCCTAGGAGATTAAACCAGCTAAAGGTTTCTGAAAGAATGAGTCTCAGCCCATCCCTGAGGGATGGTAGATCCCTGCTTTGAATGCCAGGTAGTTTTTTTTTTTAACTGGATGCCAGACATTGTGCATTTTACTTTTTTTGGATGCTGGGTATTTTTTGTTTTTCACTATTCTTAAACTTTATTCTAGAGAATAGTCAAATTCCTTAGAAATGGTTTGATCCTTTTGGCTTGCTTTTACAACCTCTTTCGTGAACCTGAGACAATGCTCAGTTTAGGGACAATTATTCTCCACAGTTAAGGCAAAACCGTACTGTGTGGATCTTGAGATTTTCTACTCTTGTCCTGTGTGAGTACCAGGCACTGTTACCTCTAATGCTTTCAGGTGAGTCTTTTCTAGCACGGATAGTTTGCTCACATCAGATCAATGCTCAGCTGAATGTTTGAGTGTGACCGTGTGTGATCTCTGAAGCTCTCCTTCTTTAAGTCCCTGGTGACCCCAGACTATCAGCTTGTTGTCAACTCAGAGTACCCCAGATTCTAAATGAGTTTTCCCTTCCCTTCCTTTTGGCCTGAAAACTCATAGGGGAATGAGTTGGCCAATCACAGGATTTATTCTGTTTGTTTACCATCTCTCAGGGATTCTTTCCTTTTTTGTCTGATGTCCAGTGTTAAATAGATCATTGTTTCAAATATTTTGTCCATTGCTTGGTTATTTTGGCGGGAAGTACATCCAGTGTCTGTCATTTCACCTTAACTGGAAGTGGCAGGCATTAACACTCAGAGTCATCTCATGGAGATTCTAACATACAGCCAGATTGAGAATCACCTCTGTAAAATGTAGCCCAATTTTGGATTTATGGACCTTCTATAGAGAGCCTCACCTAGGGCCAGTATAGAATTACAATAATAAAGAAAATTATAGTTGTACAAATATTTTATTGTACTTTGAAAGTACATGAATTCTTTACAGGCCCCTCTGCTAAATGGTGAGCTCCCTAAAAAGCAGATGTAAGTCCTTCTCACATCCCCAGAGTCTCCACATGGAGGTTCAGTAAGTCTATGGTGATGGCAAACAAAAAGAAAGAAAATATAATTTCTGCTCACATAATTGATCACCTTCCTTTGTAAGAAATTGGAAATGATCCAGCTCATGAATGTGTATAAATCCTTAAGGGTTCAGAACATTTTCTGACATTTAAGCTGCCTAAATTCCTTCCTCCTTCTATTTTTGTCCTATCTCCAGGGAACAGAAATAGTTGCTTATCCTTAATCTTAGATTCATAGGATACTAGGCCTCTAAGGAATCCCTTTGCTTTTGACAAGAATCATTCACACTAAATCTGGTATGAGTCTATTTTGCTAAACGTAGTAGCTAAGCTGAATATAGAAATTACAGATCACTCCCTTGGCAATCCAGTCCTCCAGTTGGCTGGACTTACTCACCCATCTATAGAGCAACATTTTGATAAGCTTTCTATCATGTGTGAAAGTCATCCGTTCATTCATCTCACATTTATTGATCATCTGACTTATGCCAGGCTCCTGTCATCTCTTACTCAGTACCTTGTTCTTTTCAGAGCATTTATAAATAAATTCTAGTTTTCTTCCTAATCCATGAAATAGTTATAGGTTTCCATACCTCAGTGTATGGTGATTTTAGAGCTATAGCAGTGGCTCAAGTGGTAGTGCTTACCTAGCAAGCACTAGGCCCTGAGCTCAAACCCCAGAACCACCAAAAAGATAATTAACTAAGAGAGCAGATTCATAAATATATGGTGATTTTGATATAAAAGATTAATTATTTGATTACGTAATCTTTTGTATAAGTTCATATTTAAAAATTTGAAATTATAAACATCATGTTTCTATTTTACTAACTGCCTAGGCCTATCAGAATTATGTTAAAAAGAATGGTGAAGAAAAATTACTTCCTGGACTTGACCTAAATCACAAACAACTGTTCTTCTTGAACTTTGCCCAGGTACTGCATCTTTCTTGATTGATAATTATGATGATTATTTTGAGTCATGATTTCACAGTGAGTTAGAGCCTACATGTGATCTTTCTTGTTTTAATCAATTGCGGCAGAGCACTTGACTTGCTGACCTTCCATTGCTTAAAACGGAGTGTCACTTCACCTTCGTGGTAAATGATTCTGTTCTGGTTGCCCTTCGTTGAACATTATCCAAGCAGTCAGTGGTTGAGGAAGGCAGAATTGCATTTTAATTTTATTGTCCCCATCCTGCACAAACAAATAATCCTTGACTAAACCTCAGCACACTGCTTTGCTTTTTTTCAATTTCCATATCTAGGTGTGGTGTGGGACCTACAGGCCAGAGTATGCCTTCAACTCCATTAAAACGGATGTGCACAGTCCAGGCAATTTCAGGTGCGTGGGTAAGAGCCACCAAGGTGTGCCAATTTGGTTCTGTTGCCTCCTTATTTGGAATTTGACTTTTTCTAATTCTGATTATATAACATTTGGAAATCCAGTGTATGTGTGTGTGTGTGTGTGTGTGTGTGTGTGTGTGTAAAATAGTTCAACAGAACACATCAGTGTGATGTTTACACAAGCTGGCCCTTGCTGCTCTTTTCCTCAGAATATATGTGCCATTGCTTCAGTGCTTAATGGATTCCAGCAAATATGTCGTCTCACAGCAAGGACTGCATTTAAAGCTAGCAAAACATATTTCTTTTTTTTTTTCCTTTTTCTTTTATTATTCATATGTGCATACAAGGCTTGGTTCATTTCTCCCCCCTGCCCCCACCCCCTCCTTTACCACCCACTCCACCCCCTCCCTCTCCCCCCACCTCAATACCCAGCAGAAACTATTTTGCCCTTATTTCTAATTTTGTTGTAGAGAGTATTTTGCCCTTATTTCTAATTTTGTTGTAGAGAGAGTATAAGCAATAATAGGAAGGAACAAGGGTTTTTGCTGGTTGAGATAAGGATAGCTATACAGGGCATTGACTCACATTGATTTCCTGTGCGTGGGTGTTACCTTCTAGGTTAATTCTTCTTGAACTATTTCTAAGAGGTTGTGAATGGGTTAGGCCTAGATTAGTGAGTTCCAAGTTCCAAAGGAAGGTTTCCATTGGACATGAAGATAAAAACCTACTAATAAGAAGTTCTCCAACATGGAATCCTCAAAGCTCCAGAAAAAGGACATTGAAGTAGAGGTCAAAGAATAGCCCATTAAGGTTTTAAGGAAAATGCTGTACAAAGAGGAAGACTGAGTTGTATGACCCCAAATCTAATCTATGAATCTTAGAGTTCATAGGCTGAAAGAATTTGAAGGTGGAATTCTAGATCTCTATGTATTTTCACTTGCTTGTGTGTGTGTGTGTTGTGTGTGTGTGTGTGTGTGTGTGTGTGTGGCAGTGGGGCTTGAATTCAGGGCCTCACGCTTGCTGGCCGCCACTTTATCACTTGAGCCACTCCACCAGCCCTGTTTCTATGGATCTTAATGCTGTCCCTTCCCCATTTGCTGATCTACCACCACCTTCTAGGCAAGAAAGTCTGAAAAAAAGAACTAAAAATTTTGTAGGTTAGAAAATAGAAGTAGAGAATTAATGGGATAAAATTTTAAAACCCTACCTAAAATGAATGTGAATATACTACCTTGATCATTCGCTACTGGGGGAAAGCACATTTAATCACAAATAATAAAGTCGCATACCTACATACTAAAGAATGTACTTGGCTTGGTTTAGTATTGTCTTTGTCATTATCACCATCACCAGCTAATATTTTTATTAAGTTCTTTCAAAATTCATTCCCTCAACAACTATTTATTGTATACCTATTTTCTATTTAATGTGAACTAAATTTTATGCTGCTAATATATCCAAATTAACTTTTTTTAGATAGGGTCTTATCACCCCCTCTCCTGAGAGGAGGAGCCTTGGACTCTATCTTCTTTCCTACAGCCTCCTAGCGTAGCTAGGATGACAGGTGCACACCACCCTGCCCTGATGATTTTTTGAGGTGGAGTCTCCACAACTTTTTGCCTAGGCTGGTCTTGAACTGCAATTTTCCCAGTCTCTGCCTCCTGATTCACTGGGATTGCAGATGTGAGCCATAACGCCCAACCCTAACTTTTTTTGATAAGACAGACTATTGTTATTATCAGTAATTATGCTTTTTCTGTTTATTAACCTAGTGAAATCCTCAGAAGCTTCAGTGTGTAGAACCATTTATTTCCACAGCAATAGTGATACTTTTCACTTCTCATTTTGGCTTTTTGTGGGATTTTCCTATGTCTGTTCCCCAGTGTGGTGCCTTTACATAAATAGGAAGGTTTACATTACCAGTAAAGTTGCTGGAGGATTATGCTGATGGGTATGAGGTACATGTGGGTTTGAAAATGGGAACTAGGATTATTTTAGATATGGGGTCAGACAGAATAAAAATTCTTATGAAACAAGTTATAGACTTTGCAACATTTCCTGATCAGCTAGCAGTCAAGGGCTTTTTGTTGCTTCTTTCTTAGGTTCTGCATAGTTCAGAGTGTCAGTAACTGATTTCTGGTTAAGAAATATGTATATATTTGATACATTTTAAGAACCTTTGTAAATGCTACAATGTACCCCACCCAGCACAGCAGTTAAAAAAAAAAGAAAAATATGTAGGGAAGTATATAACAGCATTCTACCTCTAATTTTTAAATGAAAACAATATTTATTTACAAATATGAGATAATTTGTATCTCTTTTTTGGTTCTGGCTCCAAAAATTCCTCTATTTTTCATTCAAAATAAGAGAAATATGTGTGTGCTTTTAGAAATAAACGGATTACCAACCTTTTGTCAAGGAAATTATTATTTTCTCTGGAGGTAAAAGGATTTCCTTGGCAAAAGGTTGAGGTTACATTTAGTTTTGGAAACAGGCTGCTTCCTGGCTATACAAAGTCAAAAGTATTTTTTCAAGAACTTTAAAAACTAACAGACATTTTTGAGTTGCTATTCAAAAATTGTGCTTGGTGGTGTATATAAAAATATCTCCAAAACAGAGAGAGATTTGTAATCTTGTGAATCTTGTGCTCAAATAACATTGAAAACAAAAGACAAAATACACATGCTAAAAAATGAAATCTGTAACACCATAGTGATTAGCTCTAGCCTACAGTTGTTTTATTCTTCCTAACTAAAGCCATATGTACTTTAAAATAAACCTTTAAAACCTTTAGTATTTAAAACAAAAACATTTTCCCTAAATATACTGGAATTTCAATCCACAATTTAATTATTGACTTCTTTTTGGAAACCCAGTTTTTGGTTAGCCATCATAGTCACAGTAGGGAATGATTAGGTTATAATAACATTAACTATGCAGTTCTCTAAGTTATGTAGATACAGTGTTTATGAGGGTCTGATTATTTCTAAAACAAGTCAGAAAAATGAGAGAATATTCTTTGTAGCACTTTATGCAGATATTTTCAACTAGCATGGCTGTTTTGTGTCTTTCTATAATTTAACATGCTTAGGCTAACTAACCCCTCTCTGAAATGTTCATGTTTCTTCCATGAACCTTAAATACTGGCAAATGCCCGGATGGATTTTAGTGAGCTCTGTGGAATTCCTGAGAGTATCTTGTAATCTTTAGCAACTGCCTAAGACTCTCTTCAGGCATTTGTTTCTTTAAGAGTATATAAAGAGCATATGGTCACCAATGTGACTCTGCTTTCAAAGAATCATCAAACTAGTTAACAATTATTAGTGTATTCAAAAATGAAGCCAGTGACATGTAGCCAAGGCATTCACTTGAAGGAAGTAATAACAGGTTGTCAGAGGACTTATTAATTGCAAAAAGTGTATTCAGTAACTCAAAAATCCAATTAATTTTAAGCAGGAGTAGTCAGATCTATTATAGATCAAAAGTCCATTGTTGGTCACAGGGACATTCGGCTCCTTATTGCCTAGATTTTATTTGTCAAGACAATTAACAGTAACAGCACAATCCATTATTTTATATAACAAGGTAAAAAATTCAAGTAAATGGACTAAAGAAACAATCAATGAAAGTTTTCATCTTCTGTTATTAAAAATGCAAACACAGAAGCTACATAGTTTAATATAGCATTAAATTCATGTAAGTATTGTATGAATATTGATGACTTTAGAAAAGGGATTCATTATATTAATAATGCATCTACTTCTCAAAATATTTATTCATGTCATCATCCAAAGATTTGATGCTATAAACAGCAAACATTAATTAGAGACTAGAAAGTAAGTGAAGCTCTGATGTGTTGTCGACCTAATTACTCAGAATCAAATTGTCTAAGCAAAATCTTGGGGTGGAAAAAAGAGATGGAAGAGAGACGAGGAGCTCAGCGCACATCAGATTGAGTGCTTTTCCATTGCTAACTCCCAGTGGTGGTTTCCAAAGACTGTTCTTTCTTTGAGAAGTCATTGTTTCATATTTAACTTAAGAGAAATGGACAATCAAGTTATAGGATTGAACATTTTTACTGAAGTACTTGTTCCTGTGACTAAATCTAAGACACATCCTGTGAACATATTGTAATAAAATAAAAACAAAAGAGTGCATGAGGTCTTTCCCCTATCCGGTGTCTAGTGCTTCCTTCATTGAGAGGAGGATTAAAGCAATGAGTGAAAGCCCCTACTATAAAGAGAGGTCCCTAAGCCTGGAACCGTAGAGACCAAACAGCAATGAAAAGTCCTGATTTCCAAGATCTTTCGATTTCTCCATATACAGTCATTTTGGCTACATTATGGAAGTGCACTTGCTCTCTTAGTTAAGCATGGTGGTGCACACCTGGAATCCCAGCTACCCACGGGGCAGAGGCAGGAGGATCACAAGTTCAAGCCAACCCAGACAAAGTGAGCTCTGTCTCTGAGTTCAGTCCCCAGTACCAGAAAGAAAAAAAAAATGAATTTGCTCTTTTCAGAATTTTGTTTTGTTATTGGCTTTTGAACAAAAGAAATTCAATTCTCACCATTGTTCAAGGTAAATGTGCCTACACATTCAGATTCTGGGAAGAGCAATCTTCTGGGTTGCAAACTAGACTTCTCACTGTGTCCTCACATGGGTGAAAGAGTGAATTTGTTCTTGAACATTTCAGATGTAAGAAATGAACACTGGTTAAAAAATCAAGTTAAGTCAAGCTGTAAGCTCCTAGCCTGAGACAGGAGATGAGGAATTGAATTTCAGTAGTTTTTAAGTATGCTAATTCTTCGGGTTATCCAGGAATCCAAAGATATCACATGGGCCCAGAAATGAGGGAATAGCCTTCTCCTCCATCCTGCCGTGCTCCACTTGAGTCAGGTGGCTCCTCCTCCAGTGGTTGTGGGTGGGGCCTCCAGTGCTTCCATCTTCAGGTCCAGGATTCAGCCATCCCACCAGAGGTGCCTGAGGGTCTGGCCCAACATGGGAAGCATGCTTTTGTCATTGTCACAGCCTGCAGCACTGCACCCAGTTCTGTGGAGACCAGTCACCTCCCACTCAAATGGACTGACATATAACTCCCCTGTTCCACACCAGAAAGACTCTTAGTTTTATGATGCCACAAGCAGCCCTAAAAAATAAGCAACCAAAAGGGTTTTACATGCTCTCTAAGGACAGAGGAGTTGTTACGGTGGGACTGCAGGTTCAGCTGATGTGTGGATGGGTGACGAGGTATAATGTCAAACTTAGAGAAAGTCCAGACACAGATCTCTTTTCTGCAGCGAGGGAAAGGGAAGGAACTGTCTTTCTCCTCTAATTGGTCCATAGTGGCAAATAAGCAATAAATTCCTATACACAGTTTTTTCTTCCTAATGACCATGACCAAGTCACAGGTTCGTTCATTCAGTATGTGTCACTGAGTTCTGTGATAGCAATCACTGTTGGCTTTGAGAGTGCAACTCAGAGCAAAATTTGAGTCCTAGGGCTGGGTGAGGTGGTACATACCTGTAATTCCAGCTACTCAAGAGGCGGAGGTAAGAAGATTGAGGCTTGAGGCCCATCTGGGCAAAGTTAGCTCAAGACCCTACTAAAAAGCAAACTAAAAAGCAAAAGGACTAGGCTCATGACACAAGTGTAGAGTGTTTGCCTAGCATGTTTAAGGTCATAGGTTCAATTGATTCCCCAGTGCAAGAAAGAGAGGGAGGGAGATTGGGAGGGAGGGAAAATATTCACAGTACTTTGACCTTGTAGAGATTACAGTCTAGTAAGCTTGAAAGGGATGGTAGAAGGAAGTAATTTCCATAATATTCAACTAAGGACTCAAGGAGGTGATGTACAAGGTTTGAAAGGTGCTAGCCTTTGACAGCAGATGACCTGTCGCAGGGGGTGGGCGTCCACAGAGCAGCTGGTCCTGGACAGGGAAAGGGTTGTCTGGTTTGAGGAATGGAAGTAGCTCAGCATTGTGTGAGCCTCACGTGGAATGGGAAGACAATGGCACCATGAGAGTTGTTTGCGTAGGCTGTAGCCACCAGGACTTTGGAAGCCATAGAGAGGAGTCCAAACTGCCTTCAGCCACTGGGAGGGCTGAAGTAAAAGAATCGGGGAATCTGGTTTGAGTTTTGAAAGGCTGCACTCAACAGCTCTGTGTGGAGAGTAGGTGGGACGGGAGATCAAAGCTGAGAAGTCAGGTGGAGGGATATCACATAAGTCAGGAGTCTCCCATCACCCACCCCTGGTCTTTGCATCACTCCAGTGCCCTTGCTGCCAGCCCCACCTCCCACCCCAAGGCCAGCGAGGCCAGGGCAGCACTGATCCGGCAGGAGAAGGGAAGGAGCTGGCTCAGGGCTCTGCCTCATTGTGTTGGCCTGACTCCCCCTGCAAACGCTGCTCCATGCTGATAGTGATTTGGATAGTGTTGTTTTTACCCATTGGGGTGAGAGATAAGAAGAAATGGGCATTTCTCCAGCCCTTTCCAGTATTCACTCTGAATCTAGCTTCTGATATTTAAGGAGTCCTTTTAGAAAAAAGCAAAAAACTGTTCTATCTTCCCTACTAAGTCAAATCAAAAATATCTATTAAAAACCTATTATATTTAAGCCAAGCATAGAGGTACACATCTGTAATTCCAGCACTTCGGAGGTGAAGGCAGGAGGATGATGAGTTTAAGGACAGCCTGAGCTACTTAGTGAGACCCTGTCTCAAAAACACAAAAACAACAAAAACACTATGATGTTTAAACTATTACATGAGCCCTTTCAAGATACAGTGAGAAATCACAATGTTTTTCTTTGGCCAAACTCTTTTTGCAAAAGTATGAATTGCTCATTTATTTTAAAAATACACAGAAAGTGAATATAAGAGGTGAGGTGTGGTACATGTCTATAATCCCAGCTACCCAGAAGGCAAAGATTGGGAGGTTCATAGTCAGAGACCAGCCAAAGCAAAAAGTTAGCAAGATACCATCCCAGCAAACAAACCAGACATAGTGATACATAGCTGTAATCTCAGCTTCATAGGAGGGAGAGGTGGAGAATCATGGTCTGAGGCCATTCCCAGACAAAAATGCAAAACCCTGTCTGAGGTCTGGAGGCATGACTCAAGTGGTAGAGCACTTGTTCAATACTCCAGTACAGCCTAACAAAAAGAAAAGAAAGTGGATATAAATTATCAGCCCTCCATTACAGCCCAAAGCTGCAGGCACTGTTACTACATGCATTGTACAGATGAGGAACCTTCTGTGCAGAGAGGACTCAACCAGATTCAGACCACGCAGTCTCTCCCGGGCTTGGTTAGTTCTCCATTTAAAAACTCTGCTAATGAGAAAGAAATGGCTCAGAGGACCAGGTTTTTTGGCTTTTATGTCCTTTTGAATTTTAAAATCCAGGTTCACTCGCTTGCCTGTGGAGAAGTTCTCCAGGGTGCCAGGGCAGTGTGGCGAGTGCAGATGCTGACGGTGGCCTTGTCTGTTTGTGTCCAAGGATCATCGGGACCTTGCAGAACTCCCCAGATTTTTCTGAAGCCTTCCACTGCCACAAGAACTCGTACATGAATCCAGAGAAGAAGTGCCGGGTCTGGTGATCTCTGGGCAGCCTGCCCCCGAGGCACAAATGGGAGCGCCAAACCAGGAGGAAGGGGCCCCAAGGTCACGGCGGTCACCTGGGGGCCACTCACAGAGATGAGCATGAAATGCTCAGGAAATTGTCTATCCTCCAAGTGTGCAAGGAGGTCTACAATTCATCCAGTCACTTTTCACTGTAAATAGTGCTTCATTTCTAAAGATAGTATTCATGCACATTTGCTTGTCGCTGGGGCTGCCAGTTCCATGCTGTCCCAGAAAACAGTGCAAACCACATGCTCCATTCCAGGATGCCTAATCCAAGGGCAAAGGAGGGTGTCAAACGCAGCCAGGCCCCAGGAGCGCAGCAGGGGCACGACAGCTCAAAACCATTGCTAGGTACTGGTTTGTGCTTTTATTTGCAACGTCTATGCGCCTTCAAAACCTTCCAAAGAATTCTCACACATAACTGGGGCCTTTTTGCCACACATCGATTAGTCATTCTGTCATCATTTTATCTGAAGCACTCCTACGGAAAAAAAAAAAATGAATGTCTCAACTGTTTGTTGTACCTGCTTCATTGATTTGGAGACTCCTGGGCCCCTGAAATTTTCTAAGCAATTTCTTGCTCTCAAAACTTGGTCTTTTTAAGGGATTTATAGTAATGTATAAATAATAATTTTTATATTTAATTATTAACTACATTGATGACTAAGTAACTGTTATTATAGGTAGATCATTGAATGTCAGAGTTTCAGACCAAGATCAACAGGTATGAGCCAAGATCTGGAAAGTGATGTACAGATGAAAGTTTGAGACTTTTTAAATTTATAAATCATATTGATGAAAAGCTTTAAAGCACAAACTTTGGAGTAAAAATTGCCATTGAACAGTTGTCTGTAAAATATTTGTGGTTTACAAGCAAGATTTTCACAAAACTTGCCCTTGAGGGTAGCTACAAAAGGGAGAAACTGCACCTATATGTAGCTAGGTTCTGTGTCCACTGGCTCTGTGACTCCATGTGTTTTCAGGTTTGTCATCTGATGAAAATATTTTGGTAATAAATTGAAGTTATGAGCACATTACTCCTAAGCCTGTGTCCAAGCTGTTCAACTTTGCAAAACACACCTCTGTATAAAAAGGGGAAGACTCTACTGGACTTGCTTCTAGATTCTGGAAGGGGACTGTCTAGTCCCTAGCAGGGATTCCTCCCTTGAGACTTTCCTTGTTCCTCTGTTTTCCTGTCCTATTGGCTATTTTAGCTCATTTTATTGCTGGATTAAAATTTTACAAAGATGCACACTTCAGAAATTCTTATTTTTTCTAAGAAGTGAAAATGAGAGAATTTCTATATGGGTGTTGATTGTCTCACCTCTTGGAAAATGCCCATTTGTCTTTAAAAATGTTATTAAAATACAACTCTTATTTTTTCTAAGAAGAAGTGAAAATGAGAGAATTTCTATATGGGTGTTGATTGTCTCACCTCTTGGAAAATGCCCATTTGTCTTTAAAAATGTTATTAAAATACAACTCTTATTTTTTCTAAGAAGAAGTGAAAATGAGAGAATTTCTATATGGGTGTTGATTGTCTCACCTCTTGGAAAATGCCCATTTGTCTTTAAAAATGTTATTAAAATACAACATATGTACAAATCGCATAGAGCAGAAGCACACAGTCAGTGCTAGCTCCTCTGAGTACAGCCCTGCAGCCACCACCTGTAAGAAAGAGCACAGGATCCTGGAAGCCACCTTGGTCATTTCAGTCTTCCATAGAAACTGGTATGCAGATTCTTAATGTCCTGTCTGACTTTTCTCTCAGCTTCCTTTGTGACATTGTGGTGCTGATTCTGGATCATTCATTCTCGCTGCTGAATAATATTCTGCTGTGTGGCAGACGGTATACAAGTCATCTATCCCATTGTTGATGGACCCTTGAGATATTTCCTGTTTGAGGCTATGACAAATAATTTAACTATGAGTTAGGACCTACCCCTCATATTAGCATCTTTACTTGAACATTTAATGAACTAATTTCCCCAAGTCCTTCCAAATAGTTGCTATAAATATGAAAAATCTTGCTTCAGACTAGCCACGAATATCCTTATCCTTTTTCCCTTTTATCACAACCACCATTATCATGGATAATTCAAAGTATATCTGCATTTCTTTAAAATAAACTTAAACATACCTAAGTGATATTTGTAGGTGGGTAATAGAATCTCCCAGTTCTGAATAAAATGGGTGTTTTTGCGTTATTTTAGTTCTGTATGTCAGAATAACTAAAGAGACAGGATTGAGTAACTAGCATAAACTATGAAAGGCCACCGATAGGACCAATGGAGGAAAAGTCCCCAGGTCCTGAGTTCCCGCTGCTCATATAAATATAAGATTTTCTTGGGCTGAGGTACAGGTAAAAGTCAGAATAGCCAATCCTTCCTTATCTTGCACACATCCAGACATCATTGACTGCCCATGGTACTCTTGTTGAGTCATACTACAAACCACTGGTGTCACAGCATTAGAGAAGACATCTATAATCTCACACATAAATTCAGTGCCACCACAACTAGGTTCTGGTGAAGGAAAGGGTTTAGAAACTGAGACCTAGGGATGGAAGATGGTGCCTCAATATGGGAATGAGGACCAGAAGAAGTTTTTGGCTGTGTTGGTAACAGTGGTCCTCCATGCTGCAGTATCCATGTGGATTCTAAGTGCATGATAGAAAGGAGGCTCTCCTGGAAGGTGAGCACTTGTTCCATCAGACTGTGTCACTACCGGCAAAGACCTTGGGTGTTTATAATTTCTTTGGGCCTCTGCTTCTCCCACCTAAATAAAATAGACTTGGATTCCACTGGTTCTCACTAAGAGAAGGCCTATGTGTCTCTTTCTGCCTCATGCTTAACCTGCCCCCTGTTAAGAACCATGTGGGCAAGATAATCTCAATCACCCACCCGCACACTTAAATGCCTGAATCCCGTAGACCGTATTTTTGTCCAAACACCAAGGACTAAAGATTTGTTGAGTTTGGGTATGTGCTGCTGTCAATATTAGGCATTTAAGCAGGGCAGAAGCTTGTTGATTTTCTCAAAAGCATTTATCATTCCTGTTGCCACAGATGGAGCTCTTATGCAGAAGACATCTGTTAGTTTGGAAAGAAAATGATTCCACTCTGTCAAAGAAGGATAATCAGAAATTTTTATCAGGTTCCTGTCTCAAGAATATAGAATAACAATAAAAAAACATTTTTCATACTATTGCTTTTATGCCTGCAATGCTCTATTCCAAATCCTCCCACCCTGTGTAAATTTCCACCCCACTTATGTCTTGATGTGAAGACTAAATGGAGATTTTGTGTCTATGTAGTCTTACAGTTTCTGATAGCTTCAAATTGAATCTTTTAAAAAATGAATGGTAGAAACTATTTTACTATTTTTGTTTGTTTGTTTTACCACCCCTCCCCAAAATAACCTGTTTTCTGATTGGATTTGTTCTCAAGAGGTAAGTGAAATGATTGCCAAGTGTTACAAGAGTCCCAAACATGATCAAATGACTTAGAGGGAAGCAGAACGTGACTTTGTGTGCTGCTTCTAGGCTGAGGGACTTGTCCCTTTGGTTGACCAAGTGGAGAGAAGAGCCACATCTGACTGCTGTCAAATGGCACGTTGTTTTGCCTTCTAATCTTTTCTCTATCAATATTTTCTTAGTCTTAACTCCTTTGTGTTTTGCATTTCCTCTAAACAGTGAGAAACACTCCCGTCATTTCAGCCCCATAGACAAAATGTGAAACTTGCATTTTGTTTGAAAAAACAAATCTTGGTTGTGCAAGGGAAGCCTGGCAGAAAAATAAGCATTGGTTCTTGCCAGAAATAATGATGGGCTTTCAGCTTGGGAAGTGTAGAATGATTGGAAAGCCCTGTATTTATGTTTAATTTATATACTCTGGGATTTCCTTTCTGCCCAGAAACTAACAAATTTTGCAAATATTAAGTATAATACCATCTTACTATATTCCTATAAATATACTTGATATCACCTCCAAGCTCCATCTCAAGTTATAACTCATTCTAAAAATTTATTATATACCCAGGGATACACAAATGGAGTCAAGTAGCTGGTTATTGTTTTCCTTGATATAAATCCTTCACACATTCTCTGGATGCTCTATGTGACAGAAAATCAAAGATAATATGCTAAGATATTCATGGAAAAGTTACAGTGCCAAAGAAATAGGGATAAAAAACCCTGAATAGCAAAAAATGTTTATATTTATTACATGTGAATACAAAAAGAACACAATGTTTAATATGCATTATCATTCTAATTGTCAAAATAATTTTACATAGAAAAAGAATTGGAAGAATATATGCCAAAAATTAATCAGAACTTTCTCTGGGTGGTAGTCTTGCAAAAGATTCTTGTTTTCTTCTTGTGTGTATGTGCGTGTGTATGTGTGGGCTTTCTGAATTTTAAATTTTTCTATAATGGGAAAATGTTAGTGGTAAAAGGTCATTTTTAAAATGTTACTTGGAAAAAGAAAGGAAGGGAAAGTAGAAGGGAGGAAGATGGGGAAAAAATTGACCAAAAATGAGAAACAGAATTTCTGTCCAGTTCCGATTTAGTAATTCACACAGCCAGGTATTCGGTTTGGTGCCCCAGGTACCTGGTGCAGTGAATTTTAGTCAGGAGGCCCTGCTCCAGGGACAGAGCACATCTCACAGATTATAAGGTGCTTAACCCAGAGTGGGGGAAGGTGGTCCTATGAGAAAAAGAGCAGGTGTTCTAGAAGTCTTTTTGATTTGTTTTGTTTTTCCTGAAAATGCTGACTTGCAGATTGATCCAGCCACCCTCTCCTACCTGGCGTCTCCCAAGACAAAACTTCAGCACTTGGCAAACTGTGGCCAAAGTCAAGGGTTTAGCCTATAGCTGTGGCACAGAAGACAGAGCTACACAGTGACCAGTCTGAATCCTTCACCTGCTAGGGTAATGTTTTACTTGATGGTCAGGTGGTAAAACTTAGGGGCTGGGTGGGGAAGTGACGTCAATATACTGCTAATCCCATGTGACTCACTGTTTTTATGTGCTTATATTTGTTAGGACTTGGTTGCAAATGTAAAAATCAAACTCACTCTAGTTTAGCCAAAACTGGAAATCTTGTTGATCCATGTTTCCAAAAGCAGGACAAGAATGAGTAATTGGGCTTCCACCATGTATCTATTTTGTTGTCACAGACAGGCCTTCTCCAAATAAAGCTGTGATGGTTAATTGCACCCACAGTGACTAATTCTCCACTTCCTCCCCAGGGAAGGACAGGCTTCTAGCTGCAGCAGGCATTTGACAAATCCTAAGAAAAAGCCAACTCACTGGTTTTGGAAATACATTCACCCCTGTGGATAAGGCAAGGGAAAGTGAGGACACTAGAAGTTAGGATCTTTCATCATAAGGTTGTAGAAATTGTGACCTCTGGTCCCTTAAAGAGCAGCAGTTCCCAAAAGAAGAAAAACAAACCATTCCAGAAGAGAAAAGGAGAAAAGATGTCCAGTGCATGCACACTAGGCACATTTCACATGTATGTCCCAAGACACCTCGGTTTGGATCACATGATGCATATTAAATTTTGAATAAATCTCATCATGCATTTTAGTCAAATCTAATATTTTAAACAGTTAAGTCATTAAGAAAGGACTGCAAGCAGGAAGAACTATAATGTTAATTGTGAGGTGGGT